GTTCAAATTCTGTGTTAGGTTGTTTCTGAACAACCTAACGATTTTCTCTCATCTCAGAGTGAAAGTTTGGGTTTTCTTTGAAACCTTGGCAAAGTGGTGATACATCCAAAGAACTAGTACTTACATACAATTGTTTGAATTGGTGGTCTTCAGTCTTTTAGAAGCAACTTCAAGAGACCTGTAAATCTACAAGACTGACTTGTTTGGACTTTACGATTGTACCAAGTACTATAAATCCTTATGGTGGCAAAGAAAAACTACCAGTTGTCAGTTAGTCATGATCACTAATAAGAAGTGAATAGTCCTGGACCTTCAAGTCAAGTTAAAATACACTGTAGAACATTTAGCTCTATCTATTAAAAGATTTAAGCTCCAAATTACCATGACATTCAAACGTTTGACCTCAAGTGTATCCAAGATTTAAATTGTTGATGTCCAATATGAATCATTTTAAACTGGAGGGAAATCCACTCTGAAAGCAAGTGTGTTTACGGGAGATATTTAGTATTTCCTACCTCCTGCCCCAGGTCCATGGCACACAGCTTGGCTGACTGGACCTTGGCGTCCACCATGACATTGAACATGGTGCAGATGGATTGAGGCACTCGGAAGTCTGTGGTCCGGCTGCTCCTCTGAAGCTTGGCCTCAAAGGCTGTCCTTGTCCTAGTGAAGGAATTTTCCAGGCGATAGCCATTTAGAGGTGTGACCCAATGCACGTATAACTAAAAGTAACAATTATATCGGAAATCTAATCATATGAACATGAAAATAGCCCAGTTACAGAAGTATTTTTACTTCTTCTGACTATACCTTTTAGTACATTTGTTCAGTTATTTAAAAAAAAAAAAACTTTTCTCACTCATTTCTTTTATATTTTTCCCTCTCTTCCTCTCCCCTGACACAAAGCATAGTTCCCTAAAACGGTAATAGTAATTCTTCAAACAGCTTACCAGTCATGTATGGGCAGAAATCTGTGCCATCAGAAACTGAATTTGAATCGAATTGAATCTGAATTGTAACTTGAATAAATGCTTTTACAAACTGAATATGAATTAGCCCAATTTGAAATTCAATTTATTGGACTGAAAATGATCATCACTAAATTGAAATTGAATTTTATATTTTGAAAATGAATTAATTTGCTTTGAAACTGTATTTTATGCTTTAAAAATTTTAGCTCAATTTCAGATTCACCTTTCATTCATAAAAAACGAATTAAGCATGCGCTCAGTACCAGAATTATTATGGTAGTTAAACACAGTGATAGTTGTATATCATATTATATCACTTCAAACAGAGGTGATCCAGTAATGGTGCACTAATGAATTAAACTATTCACTTTAGCTAAAGTTATTAAGTTAGCTAAAGAGTTGGGATGCTGTGTAAGACATAAATAAAGCTAAAAACACAAAGGTTTGGACACCGTTTTGCATGTTTCCCTACTGTAGGGGTCTCTGCAAGCATACAGGGCTCTGAGAGGGTCCAAGATGACAACTTGGAAATAGTCGATCATATTTGTTTGTCAAAGCTGAATCCAGGGCAAACTACGCTAAATTAGCATTTTTAGCTAACAGCTGCAATAAGTATAAAAGTTACTGTCCGGCTATCATTTGTTAACCTGACACTTTTTCTTATACATGTAATACATTTATTACCGACCTGCGAGTTTATCCGCTGGTCATTCGACATGACGAATAACTTCTGAAGTCTTAATTCAGCTCAAGATGCTGTAGATTCCCGTCAGTAACACTTTCACTAGTAAAATGTAGTTCTATTAATCTGAGCTCGATTACTCTTGAACCGGAACCAGATGTAAGTCCCAAAAAACGGAATTTTGGAACTGAAACTGAATGGTGAGAAGTGAATCTGAAATTATTCGAGAGCTAAATTTTTAAAGGATAAAATACAAAGCAAATTAATTCATTTTCAAAATATAAAATTTAATTTCAATTTAGTGACCATCATTTTCAAACCAATAAATTGAATTTCAAATTAGGCTAATTCAAATTCAGTTTTTAAAAGCATTTATTCAAAATACAATTCAGATTCAATCCGAGCAATTCAAATTCGAATTTAACTTATTCAAATTTAGTTTCTGATGGCACAGATTTCTGCCCATAGTCATGTTTCAAACCCATTTTCAATTCAAATATCACTACTACAATGTATACACTACAACTGTTTTCTAGCAGTCACACCTCATCTTACCGTTTGACACAGGATTCTATCATGTCACTAGACATCAGCTTCAGTCGGGTCTCAAGGTGTTTTCCAAACTCTTCTTCTGGCCAGTGGAGATCTCTGATGAATGTCTGCAAAGCATCAAGCTTCCAGAACAGATCTTCTGATGTCCCCGAGCCATTACTGTAGAAAAATTAAACACATTTTTAGACATTATGTGTATGTTCATGCAAAAAAAATAAAAGACAAAAATCACTTTTATGGTGACTTCATTTACAATTCATTTACAATGCATAAAATAGTAATAAGACAAAAGACTTATCATGCCTTGTATGTCTGTGGTCATAACTGCGTAAATTTGGGGTTCAAACTCAAAGCATTTTTGGGCTAATTTCAAGAACATAGTAAAGGACATTAATTATGACTTTGAAGTGATTTAAAACCAGGTTTTCCAGAACTAATGAAATCCTCAATTTCCTGATGACAAAAGGGCCTTTTTTGGGGGAAAGCAAGGACTACTTGGACCAGGACTAGCAGCACTCCCACTTATCACTGACCACATTATTAACTTGGTAAAGCCATGTCATCATATTTGATACACAAGCTTTTGTGAGTTTTTGACACTTGTACATGATTAGTGTGATTCTCCAATATGTGCCTTTCTGTTGATTGTATATATTTCTTCTGTATCCCTGCTGTCTTACTATTTACATTTTATTCCTGCTCAGTCGGTGTAGAGCACAACAATGGGCTATTCTATTCTATTCTATTCTATTCTATTCTATTCTATTCTATTCTATTCTATTCTATTCTATTCTATTCTATTCTATTCCAAATGAGAAAATCCAAGGGCGATCGTGGCTCAAAGAGTTGGCAGTT